TTAGAAAGGTATTTTAACTGTGATTAACATATGCTTTATTATTTTTATATTCACGCGAATGAAATCGCGAGCAACATCTTGTAAATTATATAACCGGCTGTATGCAACTTTGCCCACGGAGAATTAAAAAACATAAAAAAAATATAGTATCACTCCAGTGTTACCGTAAGGTTTTTATTGGAGAAAGGTTTTTTTAATTGCTCCAGTATTTTTTAAAATTATTTCAATACATACAAACATAGAATTTTCCTCTTTATATATTAGTATAGAGTATATATTGCTTTAAATATACGAGTACAATAGCGATAACAAAGAAATGTATAACGTAGTGAAAACAATATGCGCGTTAGTTATTCGTTACTAATATATTAATAACACATCCTTGTGTTAAAACCTTGGGAGATGTGAAGTTATGCAATATCTATATTTATTACCAAATATTTTCTCTCAATATTATAAAAAAATGGATCAGTTAAAAAATCCGTATCAATTAAAAAACTACTAAACTTTAAAAAAGTCAGGAAGTAACTGTTTATTGCTATTTAATTTGCTTTCTTTGCCTATCTCAGAAATGCGAGGACGGCTTGATAGTTTATTATAAGTGCGAAAGTTTGTATGGATGGATGTTTGTTGCTATATAACTTCAATACAGCTTAATGGATTTCGATGTAATCTGGCACAGATGTAGACCAATCTGAAAGAATATCTGGACTTCTTTTTTTTTTTAAATTCAGTGCGAACGAAGTCGCGTGCTAAACCTAGTAGCTAAAGCCCACTGATTCTTATATTGCAACTACGTGATGCCAATTGTAATGTAAATTTTAAAGGTCTAACAATCGTAAAATAATGTGCAAAATCATTTGTATTCTAAATACGAAATAGGAAGCGGTAGTAAAAATAACTTCCGCAACTGTACAGCGTAATGATCGCGTTGAATACTAACGTTGACACGTTAACATCACCATCTCATCATCATCATTATTTCCCCGTCATCCTGCTCCCAAAGTCGGCATACTAGATTATCATCAACTAAAATAATCTATCTTCCGTCATCTCAGTCATCACTCCCTTTTTGATGTCATCTTTCACGCAATCCATCTCTTTGTAAGCCTCCACACTCAACGTATGTTTTTCTTGTTATTACGATTCTTTCCTACTCATAACAATACCATGATTCAAAACCCCTCGCCTGGTAGAGATACCTAGAAAATGGATTTTGCGTGTTAGGTGACATGACCAAGAAGGTAGTGATGACTGAGATGATAGAGTTATTTGGAGGACTAACCTGTCACCGGCCCTATAGGATAAGGGAGGTGTTGAATTCAAAACTAAACATGAAATGTATGTTTCATTGTGTTTTTTTTTTAAATAGTTATGTTATAAGGTGGCAAACGAGTAAGTAACCAACTGAATCCGCCAAAATGGCGGACCGCGCGACCGCTGCCCATAGACATTGTATTGTATTAAGTAATTTAATGGAACTTTGTGGTATCCGTGTAGGGTGGCTGTGGTATTATCGTGTAGCGTACAAGTGCTGTCGCTGCCGAGCTTGCAGCGGGTCGCGTTG